GAGACATGGACAGGTGAGACATGGACAGGTGAGACATGGACGGGTGAGACATGGACAGGTGAGACAGGTGGGACAGGTGAGACACGGGGCCATGGGCAACATCTGCGTGGTGGTCACCTCCTGCCCGCACACCTCCGACAGCACCTGGCCAGGTGAGACAGGTGAGACAGGTGAGAGACAGGTGAGAGACAGGTGAGAGACAGGTGAGATGGGACAGGTGAGACAGGTGAGACATGGACAGGTGAGATGGGACAGGTGAGACACAGGTGAGACACAGGTGAGACACAGGTGAGACACAGGTGAGACACAGGTGAGATACAGGTGAGACATGGACAGGTGAGACATGGACAGGTGAGACAGGTGAGACAGGGACAGGTGAGATGCGACAGGTGAGACATGGACAGGTGAGATGGACAGGTGAGATGAGACAGGTGAGACATGGACAGGTGAGACATGGACAGGTGAGATGGACAGGTGAGATATGGACAGGTGAGACAGGTGGGACAGGTGAGACACGGGGCCATGGGCAACATCTGCGTGGTGGTCACCTCCTGCCTGCACACCTCCGACAGCACCTGGCCAGGTGGGACAGGTGAGATATGGACAGGTGTAATATGGACAGGTGAGATATGGACAGGTGAGACAGGGACAGGTGAGATGGGACAGGTGAGACATAGACAAGGATTGGGGACATCTGTTGGTCATGCCCAGGTGTGCCCAGGAGTGTTCCTGTCCCTCTCAGGTGTGCCCAGGTGTGCCATGGCTGTACCCAGCTGTGCCCAGGTGTGTTTTATCCCTCTCAGGTGCCCCCAGGTGTGTACCTGTCCCTCCCAGCTGTGCCCAGCTGTGCCCAGGTGTGCTCCTGTCCCTCCCAGCTGTGCCCAGGTGTGCTCCTGTCCCTCCCAGGTGCCCCCAGGTGTGCCCAGCTGTGCCCAGGTGTGCCCCCAGCTGTGCCCAGGTGTGCTCCTATCCCTCCCAGCTGTGCCCAGGTGTGCTCCTATCCCGCCCAGGTGCGCCCAGGTGTGCCCAGGTACCCACGTTGATGCAGAAGAGCGTGGTCATGCGGTGCAGGTAGTTGGGGTCGGCGGCCATGGCCAGCACCTTGGGCACGATGGTGCCCTGCGCCCAGGTGTGCCCGAAGCGCTCCACCAGCTTCCGCAGGTTACTGGTGGCGGCCTCGCGGATGGCGTACACTGCGGGGAAAGCGGCGCGGACCAGTTCGGACCAGTACGGACCAGTATGGACCAGTTCGGACCAGTATGGACCAGTATGGACCAGTACAGATCGATATAAACCAGCACGGACCAGTTCGGACCAGTATGGACCAGTATGGACCAGTACAGATCGATATAAACCACTATGGACCAGTTCAGACCAGTATGGACCAGTATGGACCAGTATGGACCAGTTCGGACCAGTATGGACCAGTACAGATCGATATAAACCAGCACGGACCATTTCGGACCAGTATGGACCAGTATGGACCAGTACAGATCGATATAAACCACTATGGACCAGTTCGAACCAGTATGGACCAGTATGGACCAGTATGGACCGCTGCAGATCAATATAAACCAGCATGGACCAGTATGGACCAGTATGGACCAGTATGGACCGCTGCAGATCAATATAAACCAGCACAGACCAGTTCGGACCAGTATGGACCAGTATGGACCAGTGCATATCGATGTAAACCAGTACGGATGAGTTCAGACCAGTATAAACCAGTATAGATCAATATAAACCACTATCATCCAGTATAAACTGGTTTGAACTGGTATTAACCAGTATAAACCAGTATAGAGCAATATAAACCAGTATGGACAATCCCTCCCAGT